CAATTCCCTGCACGTGCGCAGGTGACGACCCTCCCGCTTTAACCTTTCTCTAAACATGGCTATCAATGTATTTTTGCTACAACACAAATATGACAAGTATATATTTATCAAAGTTACTTTTGATGATTCATAGTCTTCACAATGTATAGTCAAACCTGTCTATTAAACTTTCAGGCTGGTATTTTTTTGTACTTGCTTGTAAAAGATCTTTATGAACTACCAGTATATTGAACACCTCTGTGGAACTTAACAATTTACAGTCCTTTTGGGTTTTGCTAAATGTATATTCTGTTTAACAAATTTAACTGCGTTTGAGACAGGTTTCACTGCAATTATTTTGGTGTTTCTTTCAATTGTTGTATTTGATAAATTGAACACCACTGTAAACCAAATAATTTCACATGGTTTACACAGTTTTTTTACCATCACATTTATAATAGTCCACTTTCTTCTTGTTCTGAGAAGCTATAAACAGAGAACTGATTATATTTAAACATGCACGTTATTATGAGTACAGGTATACCAAAAACTATGCATAAAGGCATACAGTGATTCTATTGAGCGATTTGATCCTGTACTGCCAAAGTGCATAAATTGCGGTATTGTATTTTCATGAATAAATTTTTTTCTTGATCAAAAAACAGCACAAAATTCTAGGGAAGAAACGATTTACTCATTTCGTTCTATTTCTATTTCGGCATCACATATTGTATTGTATGTAAATGCTTCTTTACAAAAAAGAAAGTGTTGAATGTAATTTACTCCAATTATTACAAACAAATACAGCTTGTTGATGACAATTGTACAATGAATTTTACTACCTTAATACTTTATATTATATTCAGTTTAATAATTTACAACAGTCTTTGAAACCATGATATTTTACATTTTGATTGGATTTTAACTTTGACAGGTTTTAATAACCAATCAACAAAACTTGTCAAATTAAAAGCAAGTTAATGATTTCACTGTATCGTTATCTACTTAGTAGAAAGAACAATAATTATTACAACAACAACAGATATTTTTAGTTAATAATCCATTGTACAGTTAATTAATTCGTAATTATTCTTATATAAAATACATAGATTTCAATTCATCGATGTGGTTGCTTCTATTGTCAATTTGTACAGTTTCATTGGTTTAAATTCCCTGTCTGTTTACAGTTTTCAATTATCTTCATCAGTGTTCTGTCAAGTTTGCTCCTTCATAGATAACGTATATACAATCATTAAAATAGCAATATTTTAAACATTTTCTTGTTTAAATATAACCACCTAAAGATGCCTAGGTAAATCTTACTGAAATATTGTTTTAGACACAATTGCATGAGCGAAGTGGCCCTACATCAGGCTAATATTGCATCAAATGCAATGTGAAAACTAAGGGTCAAGTAGATGTCATTTCAATGTCGATGTATTTGACATTTTGCCCAGAACCCCCAGTATAGTTGTTATCTTGGGCTGTAATCTATGATGTTCACTTGACAAAACATTTCAATAGATGGCCCCCTCTGTAGGCAGAGATGTTTGCATTAATCGCTTTGATATTATACATATAGGCACCTCAGGTAGTTCTTTCTCAGATTTGTTCTTTTAGTGATATCTTCATTTCTCTAATCTCAGTCAAGAGGCTGCTAGTTTTAGATTTGTCTAAGCCTTCATACAAGCCGCTAAAGTTGGCAACTTTGATTTCTTGCTCGACTACCTCGAGTCGGAGGGGAAGAAAGATCATAGCCCTTTCGTTATGCTATCATTTCCCTCTGTTGTCTAACCATGGCGTTTCCATGAAGACGAGAGTTAATTTGTAATCAAAATATCAAAAGGATTCAACGCAGCTCCCATCAGTCACCTCATTATCACATATTGTCAATAGCTAAAACAGGAGGATTTACTGTCGAATCAGATCTCTGGGAATTTATTATCAAACATGTTCCATTAGGGGTGACACTAAACATATTTATCTGTTATGCAGCTACATCCCCAACTAGGATTATTCAATGGGTTAAACACACACTATTACCCAAAGCATACAAGTTACAATCAGAGACTGGTTAACTTGCAGGCTTTCCAGTCAGGGACGTGAATCTAGCATGTTTCAGCCAAAGGATTATGACAGACACCGAACATCTTTATTAGCCATTGTTTACTTACTTTATTTGCCATTATTTAGTCATTGAGGCAGAAAATTTAAACTGAGAGGGCCCACTGGTCAACAAGTCTGCATATATTGGAAATGAAATTTTCATCAGGGGATTCATACTAAAACACTCAATATGGAAGCAAAAATTTTAATTCTGATAAAAAAGATTACATACATTAAAAACATTTCTGCAATATACAAATACATAAATAATATTGTCACATTACAGAGAGATGCATTATATGACAGTATTTCCTAGAAATAACTCAAAACATATCAGGACATAAAATACTAGCAACTGACAGCTAAAAAAATTTTTTAGTAAATAAAATTATTCTCAGTATCAAGTTTACCAAACCTGGGTTGGTCATGCAATATAGCTGATTGGCAAAACGCGACATAATTGCGGTATTCCAGGAACATTTCCAGTAAAATTCCTAATTCTAATGTAACAGAAATAATGGTTTTTTCTCTTATTCCCTTTTTATTGGCATTACTGCATTGCTACTTTAACCTAGACTGGCAAAGTCGGGACTTCTTTTTTGTTTTACAAAAAGAAATAATTAATTGTTTTTAGTCTTTTTAGCGTGATTGCGAAAACTTTTGTGGCCACGCAAGAAATCCCGACTGAATTCATCTGCGGGCATTTGTCATTGATTATTTAGGAATGGGTATGTGAAAGTAAACATGACCTATTAAAGGTTGGGTCACATTGCAAATGGCGGACTCGTCACTGAAACATGTGAATGTTTTGCTGCTAGTTGTATCTTGTACGGTAGTTTAGAGCTGAAAATGTAGCTGACACGGGATGAACTGTTGTAATGTCATGTAGTGTAGGTTAGAATTATGGTGGTAATGGTGCTGTGGTTTAGTTATTTCACTCTCAAAAATTACAGTGGAAATGTGATTCAAACATCGGAGCTGCACTTGATTCGTTGTCAGTGCTAGCATGGCTGTTGGTAGGTCTATGGTGCTAGTCAGCAACTTTTAATTAGCATAGTCACCTTGAGTGATTCCGCTCCGGTTTTTACCTCAACGCAGGGGGTCGCCTGCAGATGCGTCCAGTCGGAATTTCTTTCGCGGTCACGCTAGTTTTCGTGATCACGCTAAAAAGGCTAAATTGACAATAAATCCTGACTTTGCAAGCTAACTCTAACCCTCTGATCGCCAAAGACATCTTTAGGCACCATCCACACAATAGTTCTATTTATAGTCTGCTATTTTACACAGATAATGCTGACAAAAAAATTCAAATTTTTTGATCAAAAACTAGAAGCATTGTTTCATTTTGTCTGTATGATTTAAAATTAAGTATGAATTCAGTGAAAATTACAAAAAATTTTAACAAATTTACTCCATTTTGACAGAAAACAAATGGCACTTGATATGTTCTACTATTACCATCCCATTACCAGTTCTCCATAATACGCTGTGATAGTTTTCAGTTTCTTATTCAGTAGATTTTGTTCAATTTCCACTCTGCCACCAGGTCCGGCTAACGACGCCAGCTGTCAATCAATATTATGTATGAAAACAAATTAAACGATCAGTGTATTGAGTGATTAGGCTGCACTTACACATGAGTTGCCAGGATAGACAGATAAAAATAATCGAATGTTGCAATAAAATTGTCAGTAAAAAATATAGCTTTCAAATTTTTAATTACTACATACCTGGTCAAAATTAGCATTTCTTGGCATAAATAACGCAATATTGTCTGTGACTTTCTTGGTTTCTCTGATAATATCAAATGTATAGGAAGTTAAGGAACTGTCACATTTATTATGCAGCAAAGCAATAGACCATTTCCCGTTCACTGCGAGAATCACGCGTTATGCGTGAAATCGAACGTAAAAACAGGACAAACAAAGGTCATAGCGTCGTAGTGGCGTCAAACATCGCGTGGGATTCGATAAACGCGAAAATATTTTGGGGGCATTTCCATGCTTAATAATGTGCTGTATACATTTGATGATAGACAATTTCGATTAAGTGAGGATATTCGAAAGCAATATTCCTCTGTCGAAGATCGGCCGGTCGATGTGAGCTACGAAATAAAGAAATTCGAGTTGAAAATCAAATCGTTCGATTTTTACAGCAGACGTTCGACGCGCGTCTTTCATGCATCTCGCGAGATCTCGCAATTGTACGGAAAATCACCTATTGATCTGTAGGAGTTAATATGCATGGAAGAATCAGATGGCATGGATAAAGTGAGTACCACAGGTGTGTTTAATAATGTTTTGAGATGACAGGATGCACAAAAAGTGATCCATTACACATTCATCATAATATGGCAAATTTGATTTGGGAAAACTGTAGTGATTGGTCATGTGAAATGATATGAATTATATGTGGAAAATATTTGAGGATCACTTAGTCGTAATAATTCAGAGCAAAAGAAAATCTTTGTTTAATTGACATGAAAATGAAGTTGCATGGAAGTTAGGTACAGCCACAGAAGTTTCAGCCATGTGAATTTTGGCCAGCATTTTCTGGCTCGATACTTTTTAGCCACACATGCTGAAAGCAGATCTTTCAGTATGCATATATATTCATAGTATATTGCATTAACTAGTTAACTAAACTTTACTGAAATAAAATTCTTTTCTTCACAAATAACTCGTGTGTTACAAGCATTCTGGAGGTGTTTTTCATTGGAAATGAGTGAGAAGAAAATCAAAACTGTGTTGCACATTTTTGATTTGTTCTAAATATGGTTCATAATATGAATATATAGCCACCGGTACATAAAAAAGGGTTATTATGCAGTGTCTGTTACACCATATGGCCAAAAATTCTGGGCTAGAAATGGTCAAAAGTTACAAATTCCAACATTCTGTATAGCAATGAAACTGAATCATATTAAAAACTGATCCATGTGGTCCAAGTTCGAAGCAAATGTTTTTGAAATATTGGATTACAACTTGACAGTATAAAGATTGCAAAAAAAAAATAGATACCTAAAAGTTATTGTGCCTGGAAATTCAATACGTTTCATACACACAGGTGTATGGTCAAAATAAGTCATATTTTAACATATTTTGAGCACCATCGTCAACTTTCGGCAACATCTACAAAATGACTTTGTACAGTCTGCCACATAGAATGTTGATAAAAATTGACAAACCTTTCAATCCAAAAGTATATCTAAACTTGTCTGTATGGTCGAAAATGATGACAATTTAGTGACTACTGTAAAATACTTTATTTTAGCTGGAATTAATTCTCGCTAAAAATATTTTTTGGGTGTTGTGTATAGAATTTATTTTCACTGATTTTTGACAAGTTGAATGTAATATACAAAATGTATAGGGAAAAAGGTATATTCCCTGGATTTTATTTTCACTGAATCATTCCTTCAGCGAAAATAAGGAAAATTAATTCCAAGCGAAAATAAAGTATTTTACAGTATTTAGTGATTATTTTACAAAATGTGCTCTAAATTTGGGGTGGCCAAAAATATCATGAACTCAAAAGGTTATTGAATAAAATTTTTGGCAAAATAGGGTACTGTGGAATACTTTATTTTCGCTGGAATTAATTTTCGCTGATAAGGCTTTTGGGGCGTTTTGTATGGAATTTAATGTGACATATAGGGAAAAAAGTATATTCGCTGGATTTTATTTTCACAGAATCATCCCTTCAGCGAAAATGACGAAAATAAATTCCAAGCGAAAATAAAGAATTCTACAGTATTTGGGATAACAATCAATGGCTGTATGAATCACTCATAAGTTTATTGCAGAACATATTTAGTTTGAGGTAAATTATACGAAAAGGATATCCACTGATGTCCATCATGGTGTCAATGTCAAAAACTTCTGCTTGTAAGTAGTCCGGACCGCCCCATGGAGGGCTCAAGAATACAACATCAGCTTTGATGTAAGGTGCCAGCTTCATATAGTCCCCTGTGATAAACTCAATTCGGTCAGCAACTTTGTATACCTCCGCATTATGTCTGGCACACTCAATCTTCATAGGATCAATATCGATGGCAATTACTGAAATAAAAGTTACAAGTAGTTTTAGTTTGTCAACAATGTTGTAATAACCCTGCTTTCTTTTTCTTAACTGGAGAGAATCATCATATTGGCGTTAGTTGTCCCTACCTCGTTCACACGTATGAGCAAATTGTATAGCGTTTCCACCGACTCCACAGAACGCATCGACTATCAGATCACACTGACATCTCTCTGCAATATGTGCTGCTATTTTCTCTGGTGTCACTGAATACCAACCCTCTAGAATGAAACAAATATCGTAAATTAGAATACTGCAAAAATTCATACACACACACAGACAGACAGACAAACGGATGGACAGACAGATAGATAGATAAATAAATTAATAGACACACAGTGTGATGGTAATAGCTAATGGTGAGATATTTGAAAAATAAATAAATAAATAAAAAAAAAAATAAAAAAAATAATACATAATTAGAGTATCACCGAGTATCTTGGCAACATGGTGTAAATTAGGCAGAGGGTTCTCCGAACCCGCCTATTCACATAGTTCATACCCACCATAGACTCCGGTCAGTCAAAATGACTATTTTGAACTGTAGGCATTAATCAGCGATTCTGCCGGTGACGGAGAGATAGAATCTAGGTCAGGGGAAGCCCCATGACCCCAAGATTCTCTTTCCCTTACGTCACAAACCACATGACCGAGGCCATATGGCAGCGCCATTAACGGCTGTACAATCACTCTGGTTCCTTTCTCTCCACCTCAAGATGCTA